CCGAGATGATAACACCGCTCCGGGATTTCTTCGATCTCCGCCGGTGCCCGCGGGAACCCCTAGTCTCTCTCCATCCTCCTCTTTCATCCACTCTTCGTCCTTCTGAACCGCACCCTGTTTTTTTCTGCTTCCTCATGCCTCTCATGCACCTCATACCTTGCTCCTTCCCATCGCCCATTTTGCGCCGGCGGTTGCTTCATAATATCAACGCCCCTCCTTTTGCCACCCGCGCCCACTCGGCCGTCGCTTTCTGGCGTAATTGCGAGTCTCGGCCAGTGTCGTACCGTCGCCGATTCACCCACAACGCGCCATGCGCAATGTGCGATACAATCACCTGCATCGTTGCCCAGCCCGCCCCCGCGACGTCTCCCATACTTGGTGTGACATGTTCAGCCTGAGACGGAGCCATTGGCGATATGTCTTGGTCCGCAATTTCACTGAGTCTGCAGTCCACCAAGAAACCCGCGTCCTTCCATGTAAAGGGGCATCCTGAGTCGCGTATATGGTCCAGCTGCTGAGTCTCATGTCTCATGACTTGCCTCTGGCTTCTAGCTGCTGTTTATCTGAAGACAGCTAATCTTGGCCAAGGTGTCTTTCAGCGTACAATTAGGGCCTCCCCTCCGTGTATTGCGACGGAAGTACCGGTGGCCACTTAATCTGACAAGCGGTGGCTCGTTTACTATGAGTGGCCATTCGCGGCGGGATGGTGCTTTTGAGGATTCCAAGCCTCGCACAGCCTGGTGAGCCTGCAGGCCGACAGCTGTCTGCTACACACCCAAACCATGATGTCCGCAAATGGAACGTACTGGGTCTTTGGTTTTGGCTTGATAGATTAGGCCGATGACTGCTGTGTGTAACCTAGTCCTCACATCAGCGCGGCCTAGGTTGTCGTTCAACAAAGTAACCAAACGAGACCTGTGAGCAAGACGGTCTCGGAGACTACACCTGGAAATGGCGTCCTTGGAACAGGTATTTGGCCGAAGACTCAGTGCGCCTGGGATTCCCTCGACTCTGCTCTATCTCAGCCAACATGAGGAAGCTGTTGTTGAAATAGTCTCCCAGCCCTCAATCTGCTGTGCCGGATCACTTCAAGTGATATTTTACTTTCTTTCGATACCTCACGATTGTCTCTCGTTTACTTGGGTGGTTCTTCAAGGCCCAAATATCCCGTCCATTCTTTTCGTCCTTTCGCTAACATGCGTACCGCTCACTATGTATGTGTGGCGCTTGCCATATTAGCTGAGCTCGCTTTCGCAGAGGATGTGTTATTTCCTCACATGCATGGTCTAAAGTATTCAGAGTATGATCAAGCTATTAAATTGGGGTTGACAGGTACGTAAATGCAGGATCAATGGTCTAGAAAATAGGTGTTGACAGGCCAAGCCCATGTCTGTAAGGACGAGGACGAATGGTACAGCATGACAACGGCCGACTTCACCAAGTACAAGGCCATCGTCATTCCCGACTGCCTCTGCAATACCAGCTTGAGCACGATAAAATTCCTCGACGACACCAAGCGTATCTGGTCTCCTGCCGTCACGGGAAATATGGTCCTCATTGGCACAGACCCATCCTTTCACGCCAAGTGGTTCAACCTTCCAGGCGCCTACGCCATGATGCAAGACGCACTCAGCCTCGTCTCAACAGGGAAAAACGGCACCGGCATGTATTTCTCTCTTTCGTGCTATTACCAGAGCAATGCCACTGCTATGCCGATCGAAGCCCTCTCAGAAATCGGTGATTTCCAGGTCAGGGGAAATCTCAGCCATCCTTGCCTGAACAATGCCCATCTAGTCGCAAAGTCGAGTGTAATGACCTCGCTCAACGACGACATAGCAAGCAACTGGAACTGTAGCGTCCATGAGGTGTTCTCCGAATATCCTAGGTCCGGCCCGGACGGCTTTGAGGCCTTGGCAATCGCGCTTAACGCTACCGGCATTGGAGCCCGGTCATTCGCTGACAATACGTCGGGCATCCCGTACATTATAGCTCGGGGAGCCACACCACTCGGCTGTGGCAATAACGTCACAGAAACGGAATACAACGAGGAATGCGACAATGGCGCTGCCAACGGAACCCCGGGAGATTTGTGCTCCGCTTCCTGCAAGTGTCTGCATGGCATGATTGCTCCCGGTATCTGCCGGTCGAACATCACATCAAGCTCGTCAAGCCCAACCCAAAGCAGCACCCGCTTCACAAATTCCAGGTAAGATTTGGTTGTGAGCGTTAACATCCTACTTTGCTAACCGTCTACCGTGTCAGTATTGCCGCGGCTACATCGTCGATTGCAAACTCCTCGGCATCCAGTTTCTCTGTGCCTGCCACGGCATCACCGAGCAGCCCATCTAGAGGTTTTATATTCCCTTCTAGCAATCTAACAACATACAAACCCCCGACGTCTTCCGGCAGGGAACCAATTACTGTTACAGTTTCCCCCCCCCTACCTACTGTATCCTCCGCAACATCCCTTGCTGCCGGTCTCGTCTCCAATTCCTCAACGACATTTCTAAGCAACGTAACGTCCTTTAGCAGTTCAGTTCAGTCGCCTCTGCCACCAATTACCGTAACTGTTCGGCCCCCTCGCCCTTCTAGTCCATCTTTGGGAATATTTACCCTGAGCCCGTCTGGTCCCTCTGCGTCTCCACCGGCGACGGAGATAATCGGATCTTCGAACCCTGCTGGGCCGCCGCCAGAAACGGTCACAGTTTTACCCCCTTCCCTTACAGGACCGAGTCCCGGGGTTACTACGGCCGAGTCATCGCAGCCTATTGGCGCACCATCCACATCCCAGCCGGGTACAACCCCGGGGACTGTTGTTGTAACTGCTTCTGGTCAGCCCAATGCACAGCCTCCGCTGGGAACAGTCATCATAGATCCCTCGGGGAAGTCTGGGGGCTCTACGAGTGGGAGAACGGTTATCCTGGCCAGTCCATCGGCGGACTCCAACGTGCCTGATACTGCTCGGCCCTCTAGCCAGTCCAGTTCGGACTCTGGAACACAACCTGCACCCCCACTCGTGACCGTAACTGCAGAGCCCCCCGGACAGCCAACCGCATCCTCGGGATCGCTTGGCACTCCTTTGGGGCCGGCAACGAGCCAGCCTTCAGACTCATTTAATGGGCACCCCGGAACACCGATAGGCACGCCACCTCAAGTGACAGTGACTGCCGGACCCTCTCACCGCTCAAGCTTCCTCTCTGCGCAGCCCGTAACGCTTCCAGGCTCTCAAACAGCCGAGCCGCCCTCCCAGTCCGAAACAGTCCCCGAATCACAATCAAGCGTACCACCGAGGACGGTGACTGTTTTGCCACCCAACCAAAGCGGTCCATCAGGTACTGTTGTGACATCTGGGCAGGCAGGGACGGCTCCTGAGGGAACTACTACCAATGATACCCCGAGTCAATCGGGCCGGCCCGACACTTCGCGGGGATCACTGCCGCCGCAACCTCCCTCCCCGTCATCTACAGACAGCCTTGCGGGAACTAGTGGTAGCCCAGGAGCTTCCAGCTCACCGCGAGGTACCAAAGGCGCACCTAGTGCCCTTCCTGGGACTAGCACTGCTCTGCCGCAAGGAGGAGGGTCGACCACGATGACGAGATCGACTAGTAGCGAGCCTTCTGGCCCCTATCTCTTCTCGGACACGTCTCGAACTTTGCCCGCATCCGTCACCATTGGGCCACCAGGTAACTCATCCAATGGGGCCTCCTTACACTCGCCCTTGGGACCATCGACTGTGCCAGCTACGGAAGAGACTAGCCAACAATCAAGCATTTCGCCCAACTCGCAGACTAGGCATGCGTCCGGGACTGCACGCGGGACGCTATCCGACGCGCTTTCCAGTGGATACTCAAGTGTACTTGTCACACTAGCGTCTAGCTTACCTGCTAGGACTTTCTCAATACCAGCCTCAGAATCTGGCATTGAGCATTCTTCTGGATCTTCCCTGTCCCTGCCCTCTGGTTTGCCGCCCTATTGGTCCACCAGGCCAACTACGCCATCAGGAGTTTCCTCTCGGCTGCAGACGGGGACCAACTTCCCTGATCCGGGGACCAAGACCGTGATCTCAGAATCTACCGTTGTTTTTGATACATGCACTCCACCAACTCCGAGCCACTGTGATGTTTGGATTGGTATCGAAGTCATCTACATGATCGAGATCGCCGAGGTCTGCCCAGAGGGTTCAACAAGTAAGTGGTATCCGAGGCCTACATAATCAATGGTGTATTAATGATCCGTGAAGTCACTGAAACCATCACCGAGTGTGTCGCCACCTTGACGAGGTCAATTTGCCAAACATCTGCCACCAATTACCCATGCTATCCCTGTATCATGGGCACACCTGTGTCTACAGATCACACCGCCACTGTCACGGTTGTAAGTGACTGATCATCATGAAGAATATGTACTCTGCTAACAGACCCCACATAGACTTCATGCTCAGCCTCGACAGAGTCGATAGTGACAGCCACGGTACAGCTCTGCAGCACTTGCACCACCACGACGTACATCGGCACTGTCCCTGGCTTCACCCCCGGAAGCCCTTGCCACGGCTGCAGCCCCTACGAGCCAAGCTCAACGATGTCCATCCCCCCACCCATCGCACTGACACCCACAACCTCCCCTACCCCATCCCACCAGACGCCAATCCCAGACCCCGAGCGCAGCACTACCCCCACCGTCTCACCGGATCCTGAGCCGGGCTCCGGAAGAGACTCTACATCCAAAGCCACACCGACCCTGGCGCCGCCCGGAAACCCAGGCCTCCCGACTTCGCCGTCCTCGTCTCCGGCTCCGGCCCCGGGATATACTAATGGGCCACGGCCAGATAGGTCCTCAGTGCCAGGGGCGAGCCATACCCCGTACCAGCCGAGCGTTGCACCGCTGTTCCCGGTTGTCACGGCCGGTGGGTCGATGACCAGTGCTGGGTATGTTGGGGCTGGCGCTGTAGGGTGTCTGTTGCTGGTGTGGTGGATGTGACAGGGCGGTGTGTTATAGTGTGCGATATCGTGGCCGAGCGGTCTAAGGCGCCACGTCAGGATCAACCCTTAATACAATCTCTGGATTCCGTGGTCCGAAGGGGCGTGAGTTCGAGTCTCACCGATATCAAGCATTTCACTTTTGCTGGTGCGGTGGATCGGGAGTGGGCCAGACTTGGTGGAGCTGACCTGAGTCTTTATAATGGGGATGTGGGTATTTGCTTCTTGTCTTTTGCTCTTACCTAGGTAGGTAAATTGTTGCATGTAATGAGAGGATCAATATAATAGAAGGTGGCTTTGTAACGTAGGCGGCAATCACTTCATTATCAGACTCTGGGAATGTTTGGTGTGATAGATGTGAGGGTGATGAGAGATGTGGCCGATGGATGGGATAAAGCAGGGTTTCTTGTTTCTGAATGGTTGCTAGTCTGCAGTCAGCAATTTTGCATACATCTACAATTCTGTGCCAGGTTACATATCCGGCCTTGTCCGGGAACGAATGATGACCAAGGCATGTTTACAAGTTGTCGTCAATGCTGAGATAGGTATGCCTGAGATGGGGGGTTTTTTTTTATTTTTTTTATTTGGTTACTCAGGTAATCCCCAATGTACCCCTTTCTCTTCCCCCTTTTTAGCGTGAATTCACTCACACAAGACAAAGTCTACCCAGCCAGTCAATTCCACAACACACAACCGATGTCAATTGCAGAGTGAATATCGGCCGGCTAGTCACATCGAGCACTGTCTGATCCTCGATCCAAACCACCGGCTCCGATCGGGGCCGGACGCGGGCGGTTGAGAGTGTGGGGTGGCGCGGGGGATACCGGCACATCGGGGGCGGGGGGTTGCGGTAGTTAATTTGCTCTGCCGGCTCAAGTCAGCGACATGCATGCCACGGGCGTTCTTGTTACGCCATCGATCGTACCAACCAGGGCTGTTTAGCCGGCCGGCTCCCCTTTTTCTCCTCTGAACTTGTGGCCAAAGCCCCTGGCGGGGATGAGGGGGAGCAAAGCTTCCGCAGGTGAACGAGGGGTTGCTGGTCATTCTTGATGATGCTTGGCGTCATGTCATAGCTGTGTGTGTCGATCCGGGCTTGAATTAGAGGGGAAGTTACACTGAAAGAGGGGTTTTTCGTGGGGGTGGGACTAGCGTCGCTTGCATCGTTATGAGCTTTTGTGACGGGGTTATAAAGGGGAGTCTGCTCGAGCCTGGGAGTCATGGTCTCGTTCTCTCCTCACATGCAAAGCTATTGCAACAGAGCTCCTCGCCGTTTAAACACCCAAGTTCCATCCATCAGCCTAGACACCGGCCGTCTAGAGACAAGCAAGAATAATCATCCAAGTATCTCTACTGTGCGCAATGGCTACCCTTTCCCGAGTCCCCATCAAGCCAGAGATTTGACTAAAACCCTACTGCAACCAGAGCCAACGGTACCTACACACCATGAACCCCTCCGTGCTCTGGAGGAGGATGGAGAAGCCATGGGGCCTTTCACCGTGTCCTATCCCATAATGATCAAACCACACACCTTCAGGTAACTATCTGAATGCATGAGCCGGTGCCAATCCCGTCCGCAGTGCCTCTGTCCAACCTTCAACTTGTCCCAGCAAGGCTGGAAGGAAGCCCAGACAAACACTGCGCGACGCGGGGCGGCTGAGATTACACGGCCGTGAACTTGATCTGGATAATACCAGCGAAAGGATCATGCTTCAACACCTCCCCCTCCCCCATTTGAGAAAAGCCCATCCCCTAACACTCACAGAAAGAAAACCAAAGCAACCATGGCCCCCTCCGCAACCGCCCCAGAGCAGCACCAGCTCCCAGCCTCCATCCTAGCCGCCAAAGCCAAAGCCTCCAACGGCAACAGTACCACCACGGCCGCCGCGCCCCTGACGGCCCCGCTGGCCTCGCTCCTGGGGGCCTGGCCGACCTTCAAGTTCGCGCCGATCCGCGAGAGCACCGTGTCGCGGGCCATGACGCGGCGCTACTTTGCCGACCTGGACGCGTACGCCGAGGCCGACATCGTCATTGTGGGCGCGGGTTCGTGCGGCCTGAGCTGCGCGTACACGCTGGGCAGGCTGCGGCCGGACCTGCGCATCGCGCTGGTCGAGGCCGGCGTCGCGCCGGGCGGCGGCGCGTGGTTGGGCGGGCAGCTATTCAGCGCCATGGTGATGCGCAAGCCGGCCGATGTGTTTCTCAGCGAGGTGGGCGTGCCATTTGAGGACGAGGGCGACTACGTCGTGGTCAAGCACGCGGCGCTGTTTACGAGCACCGTGTTGAGCAAGGTGCTGGCCATGGAGAACATCAAGCTGTTCAACGCCACGACGGTTGAGGATCTGATTACGAGGCAGATCGAGGGCGAGGAGGGCGTGCGGATTGCCGGTGTGGTTACGAACTGGACACTCGTGTCGATGCATCATGACGATCAGAGCTGCATGGATCCCAACACGATCAATGCCCCGTTGGTCATTTCGACGACCGGACATGATGGTAAGCCTATTCCCAAGGGAGGCCCCCTTATTTGGAGTCGAGCTGATCTCGGAAACCAGGGCCGTTCGGCGCCTTCTCCGTCAAGCGCCTTGTTTCAATGAAGCAGCTGGAGCAGCTTGGCGGTATGCGCGGCCTCGATATGCAGTCGGCGGAGGATGCCATTGTCAAGAACACCCGAGAGATTGTGCCGGGTTTGATTGTTGGTGGAATGGAGCTGTCCGAGATGGACGGATGCAACCGCATGGGTATGTATTTCCACCAAAGTGTACACTACATATATTGAGATTATAATACTGACGTGGAGTGTTTGTAGGCCCTACATTTGGTGCCATGGCCCTGAGCGGTGTTAAGGCGGCCGAGGAGGCTCTCAAGGTCTTCGACCTCCGCAAGGCTCAAAATAAGGAGTAAAGCCCTATTTGGTTCACTTTGGCTATGGTCAGGGGGCTATGCAGCCAACTTTCGCTCGTCAACAAATTTGAGCCGACGGGCACGTTCCATTGTGATAGGTCTGTATGTCTGGATTACGCGAATGATGGAACACGATCAACACCATTCGAAATAGTTAAGGTTGCGAATGGGATACTCAGCAACAAGCAAAGTATCTATGAATGAAATATTGCTTGACTTACTTGAATATTGCTTGCTCTACACGTAAACCCGTGCATTCTCGCGTACCTTCACGCGTGCCCCTTCACCGAACAACCTCCCTCCCCGCCGCCTCCAACGCCTTCACCAAGCCGGCCACCGTCCCCTTTAACGTCTGGGTGTTTACCACCACCCTGAAGAAGCTGCCCCGCTCGCCCGGTGCATAGTCAACCATAAACCCTCTGCTCACCAGCCGCTCGGCCATGATCCTCGTCCGCCTTGTATTCACCTCCGGGTCCCCCGCCAGCTGTCCACCCGGCGCATAATAAAAGCAAACCTGCAAGCACGGCGGGGGATTTTCCGAAATCAGGACAAACTCCTCCTTCTGCGCGAGCGTCTCAGCCAGGTACGCGGCGACCTCGAAAGCGCCATCAACTTGGCGTTCAAAGCCTGCAGCACCGTAGTAGATCCAGCTCAGCGCCAGCTTCAAGCTATCACCGCGGCGGCCGCACTGCAGCGTCAAATCGGCAAGATCCCAGACTTCCCGCCCTTCATCCAGGCTCTTGGGCCCGGCGCACCCCTCCGCACCATTGATCTCGACCTCGTCAGTACCATGAAACAGGTACCCGGCGGGCAAGGTGTTCGCCCTGTGAAACACGGCCATATCCGGCCCGAGCAGGAACGAGCATGTCATCGGCACGTTCATCATCTTATGCGGGTTGACGGTCAACGAGTCTGCGAGATGTGACCCGGCCAACTTTCCCTTGTGAAGCTCCGAGAAGATAGCCGGCCCGCCCCAACTAGCATCGATATGCATCCACAGCCCAAACTCACGGCACACGGCGGCGATGGCCTCAAAGGGCTCGTACGACCCGAAGACGGTAGTGCCAGCCGTGGCGTTGACGTACAGGGGTGTCTTTCCCTCGACCTTGGCGCGCACAACGAGCTCGCGCAGCGCCGAGGGTATCATGCGCCCCGCATCGTCGACGGGAACAGTCCAGACAGAGGAAGAGCCTAGGCCGCAGGTGACGGCGGCTTTTTCGACCGAGTAGTGGCCGTGCTCGCTAGTGAAGAGGATCAGGGGGCCAGTAGGGACGCAGCTGTTGCCTTGGGTTTTGGTCTCTGGATAGAGGGTGTTGCGGGCAATGACAATAGAGGTTAGGTTAGAGGCACTGCCGCCTTGGCAGGTGACACCGCCAGCGCGGGGACCGGTAAAGCCGAAGAGGCCGGCCAACGTTTTGCCCGTATGTTTCTCAACTACCGACAAGGCGGGCGAAACTTGGTAAACGTGGAGCTTTTCCCGCGTTAGTCTGGAATTTCCAAGGAACGAAAAGAGTTACATACATTGGTGTTTAAGACTGAGAGAAGCAGCTCAGAAACTACTCCAACCTAGTGTTAGGACGTGGTTAGATCGACTCAACATAGTGTCGCACCTTGGCCCGGTGACTCACCGCATTGGTGCTTGCATACAGCTTGTCTAAGAATCCCTGGTCCCAGGTGTTGACGCTAAACCCGAGGATATCTTGAATGGTTTGTAGAAGTCCATCTTCCCCTCGGCCCTCACCCAGAGGCAGCGACAGCGCTAGCTGCTTCACCAACTCCTCCGGCTTCTGAGAGTTGACCAAAGTATTTCTGAAAGCCCCTTGACTGTCAGCAACTACTTGCCCGGAGGCCCTGAGAGGTGCTGCTTCATCAGCTGCCCGGATGAACGGAATGATCAGGCCTTTAACCGCATCGATGAGCTGGCGCTGTGGTCAGTTTGGCCAGTGAAAATCGGAAGTGGACAGGCCTGCTCACATGGTCAACCTCGGCGGCTCTAGTAAGGGGCTTGGGGCTGTGAAGTCCGTTCATTTTGAGGGTATATAACGTATGTACAGGTTCGGGTCAAACTATGGAGATAATGACGGAGGATGATGGAGGATTTTTGCAACCGGCCGGCTGGCCGGCCGGGAAGTGGAAACCCGCCCACGTCCTCATGACTCTTCACCACGACCGTACGGTCGCGTGCCGACCTTGAGCAGAAATGCCGCAAAAATTTGTCACCGGAATCCTGGA